AAGAGTATTGCCTCCAAGATCGAAACCCATACGAATTGCAGGAAAACATAACTACGAACCCTGCATCCACCTGTGGGAGGGTAATCCTCTGCCTGATTCGGGCTCCGGAATCCGAACTGACCGGGTAATGAGAAGGCTTTCCATTTTCCCAAGTAAATGAGAAACTTAGCACTTTCACCGGTTTTGTGTTGCAGCAGAACTCTAAGTGTCCAAACACCCTAATGGTCTTAGACCTTGTCTAAGTTTAGATCTTATCATTCATGTAATTTCAGCTAACTTATTTGGCCAAGGCTCCTGGTGCCAACTAAATCTGAGTGGTATGATTGGTTAGTTTCTCCTCATATTTCTCTAGAGGCAGTAAGTGAAAGCGGCAAGGCCACGTGCCTTATGACAGAATTTCCATGTCTTTCCAAAGATCTGCCTTTGGTTTGATACAAACAGTTCCTGCAAGCAGCTAAGATTTGGGGATCACCCTTCATATTGTTGGTGGTGGCGGTGACATTATTGTTATTAGTTTGATCAGATCAACATAACTGAGCGGTCAGCCACGGGGGAGAGAACCGTTTCCAACAGCACTGTGAGGTCACTCCTTACCACGGACCATGCTGGGCTGATTCTTAACGTCTCAGTGTTTGTAAGAACGATCTCTGGACCCTCGCTACTCAGACTTTGGCATGTGGACCATTGGCATCTCCTGAGAGCTTGCTAGAGATGCTGGATCTCAGGCCCGGCCCCACCCAGACCTACCAAATGTGCATTTTCACAAGATCCTTGGCTGATTTACATACACATTAAAGTATGAGAAGCATTTATCAAGTTCATCTTCTTAGAGTTTTTTGGTGCATTAAAAAAATACACATGCCCTTTCCTTAATGTGAAAACTTGGACTTGGGAAGGCTTGGTGACATCTGTTAACAGAAATAGAACTTAGAACTTAAATCCAGTTGTAACACCTTTCACCCAGGGCTTCTGTTATTTAAGCCCCACGTGGTTCTTCTCCCAGAGCCAACTCACCCGTCCCCATATCCTATGTCAATCATAGCGCAGCTGACACTTTCCACTCAAATCCTGATAATCCTCTTTTTTCATAATCGCAGCTTCACGACTGCCACCATTAAAGTCTAATCATCAGGCTCCGGGCACTACAAACGATCTCATTTCATCCTCCACTAACTCTATGACCCGAGTTCAATTATCCCCATTTTACAGATGAGAAGACCTAGCAAGAGGAATATGTTAATTTTCTCCACACTTTGCTCTCTCCTGCCTCCAAACTGTCCCCTGTCACCACAGAAGACTCTACTTTCCCCTCCTTTAGCACAATTCCCAGTGATCACCTTCAAAGTGTACATTTCTCACGAGGTCTTTCAGATGACCTCTCCTGGGCTCTAAGTCACTTGAATTATTTGTTCATCTACTCAGCACATGTGTGAGTGCCAGCCTGGTGCCCCCAGATGTGCCAGGGCCACCTGGTCACCTGTGACACAGTGCTTGTTCCTCTCTCGGGGAGCTCGGGGGACCTGGCTGTAAATTCAGGGTGGAGGGGTACACAGTGTGCTACGGGGGCCTGACCACGGAGGTCTCAGTCACACCAGACACCAATCTCCTCTTCAGCTTTCATCTTTCCTGCCTCCCCAGTGGCGTAAATAAGGCTTCACTGTCACTTCACCCCCTCAAGTTCCTGGGGCTTCATCACGCATTTACCATTTGAACTCAGATATATTCACAGGGTTGCAGCATCTCCTAGGTGGACTCAAGACCTTCTGTCTTCACAACTCTCCCCAGGCTGAGAGCAGAGTGCAGCGTTCTATTTACTCAATAATGGGGCTGGCGGAGGGGATCTCCGATGGCTAGATTTTCTGGGTTGGTGGTTTGCTGCATAACCACAGTTTGGTTTTGGAAGATGATGAATCATGACTCTGCCAACTCTTAGCTGTGTACCTAGCTCCCCAAACAAGTTAACTGCAACACGGCAAGGGCACGAGACGGAGCGTGTCCTGCCATCAGAACTCCAGGCTGTGGGTCTCCTCCTCCGAGGAGCTTGTCATTGTCACGGCAGACCTTCCAGAATGCGGTTGGCACAGCAAGTACACTGTGGTGCTCTGTGAATTTGTATCATAAAGACACTTTTCTACTAATGCACAAGCAACTCAAACTGTTTACTGCAATCTAAGTATCACGGTGAATTGAGGTCTACTCTCTCTTTGTAAATCCTGAATTACCTAATAGAATAAATCTCCACAGGTGAACCTCTAAGTAAACTGACGGTTGCATTTCCCTCACTTGCCTGCTAGGGTAGCGCTCAGAGGCTCGATATTTGAAACTGCCAGTGAAGAAGGGGCAGCTACTGCCCAGAAGCAAAGAGCATCTCTCTGTGTCCCTCTCTCCTCGCAAGACGTTTTGAACCCGTGTTTCTGACGTCTGCTGGTAAGAGGTGTCAGCTTTGGTGGAAGATGTGTATTTCTCCTCAGCCATCCCCTTTCTGCTGAGTATGAGTTTATTCTGGTAAGAAAGACACAAACATGGGAACCAGAAACCCTAGGGAGGGACTTCCTCCTACCGGCCAAGCTTCTGGACAGAAGTTACCTGTATGGAGACCACCTGGGCTGTCTCTCGCCATTAGCTCAACAGGCTCAGGGTAAGAAGAGAATGTTAATCCTTGTTTGCAAAGGACAAGTCACGGAGCCTCTTTTACAGGAAAGTCAGATCGCCAGATGGTTTGTGCCTGAAGAGCTGTAGACAGTAGAGCCTTGAGGTCATGTTCCTGGGTCTACAGAGGTCCAGCTGTGGGGCAGAGGCTGGGTGGACCCAGGCCCAAACACTGTGAACTAATAAATATAAGCCACACTCAGCAGAACTGGCTCTCAGTGGAAAAACCTGCTTTCTGAACCCACCCCTCCCTGACCCCACGTGAGCTATATTCTGCTAACAGTAACCATGACAATGCAGGGGGAGTGACAAAGGGCTATTACATACCATTCAGCTAGACCATATAACCACGGCGTTAGACCTAGTAGAAATGCAAGGAGATCACATGTGGATAGATGTCACTTTACAGAATGGTAATGAAGCAACAATGGAAACTGAGGAACACCAAAGAGAGACAGGTCACCTGTTCCACATCCAGAGTTAGGTTCATCCTGTTAGCCAGACTCTTCATAAAGCCAGGACTCATCACACTCAAGCAACAATTCAAAATGTGCTCTAAGCAAGTTTTGTATCAACCACAAACATTATATGTAAATGCTATTTAAAAATCCTTATCTGAATTATCCAAACATAAAGTATACCTTCACACAAAACAAGGTGTCATTATTCCTATTAATAATGATAATATAAGTGTGGGAATGTAAATGACGAAGCTGACCAGGTATGACGCCTGTGAACCGCAAGAGAACTTGAGAAAGTAAAGTCCAGCCATCGAGTGTGTACACCCACAGGCCAAACACTCTGCTATAAAACTAAACTACTGATAAAAAGGGGTCGTGTCTACTGACACAGGAGTCCTATTGGGCAGAAACTTTAAAAACCATACATAGAGAAATTAAGAGAGAGCTTTTTTTTTTTTTTTTTGCCGTATGTGGGCCTCTCACTGTTGCAGCCTCTCCCGTTGCGGAGCACAGGCTCCGGACGCGCAGGCTCAGCGGCCATGGCTCACGGGCCCAGCCGCTCCGCGGCATGTGGGATCT